TAGAGCAGTGCGACCTAGAGAACGAGAATTCCTAACCGGATTGGATGTCCTGTGGTGGCAGTGAAGCTGTTTGGAAAGTTTTGCGTAGGTCTTGACAGCTTCGTTTCGTTTTGTCTTAGGTGTGACTGAAGTGTTTTGCTTGGAGACAGACAGCTGCAGAACAGTTTCACGTTGTTTCACGTCTGCAAACCAAAAAAGACCGAGTGCTGCGCGCTCTGTCTTTCACAAGACAGCTTTCGGCAGCCTTCCGGCCACAGGTCCGGCCCCACAGCGCGGGTCGGGGTCGGGCCAGGCTCTACAGGGCCGGCATCACAAGGTTCAGAGCTCAAGTCTGCCCACCGGAAGGGAAACAAAACCATTTGCCAAGTTTAGCGCTAAGTCATCGAGGAACATAATAGAGTCAAGTGCACAGTTTGAGTCATAGGATCTAGTGCATCATGGTCCAGTCAAGTGCATAGATTCATCAAAGTCAAAGTCCAGCGGCCACACAACTGCACGGCACACCAGCCGTTTCGTGCGAAATACGATGCAGCTACCCTTCTCTGTGCTGCACGCACGATGAATGGACGCACGGGAACGAAACATAGACAGAGAATGATCAGTTCGCAGATTCAAGCAGACGTTTCAAGCAGACGTGTCAAACTGGTGTCGAGCACCGGGGGTTTTGGCTTCGTAGATACTCGCACCGTTAGACTTCCTTTGAAAAGCGGCTTCTGCATCGGCAGGTAGAGCGGTGTGCGAATGATAAGAAGATTTCTGTCTCAATACGGAGTCGCACGCCACAAGTATCCCGTTCGGTGTATGTGTTGATCCAAGCTTGTCGGCTTTGTGTGCATGCAAGTCAAGTCGACACTTCGACGGTGAAATTGGAGTGTGATCGGTAATTGTGGTAATTTTGTTTTTTTTTCCACTGCCAGCCCAGTCGCACCTCCGACCCTACCAGTACGGCTATCCGCGGGCCGGCACGCGGCTCGGCTGCGGTCCGGTTTGCGAGCGGGCGTGCGCGAGCAGCTGCTCGTGCAAAGCTGGCGTCGGTCCGGCAATACACGGCTCGGTCTGTAGGGGAAGACGAAGGTGGTTGCAAGCGCTCGCTGCTCAGCAACACCTGAGGCCACTCCACCGGAGCACCCACACGGCCTGCGCAGCCGGGCGAAGTGCAGGCGTGGCGGAGGCGCCGGCTCGCGCAACTAGGCGAAGGAAGGAGGCAGCTTCGGCATCCCAACGGCCACTAACCTCCAGCCAAACACGACCAGAGCGGCACTTCGTTCCGCGGTCGAGCTCAAGATAAGTCTGCCTGTGCTAGCGCCTGGCACAGGCCAGGGTGCGGTCTTCCATCTTGGGGAATGTTGCTCACAAGAGTGGCATCGAGTCGGGCGCCGTGCCACAGCGGCAGGCCGTTGCAGACGACTTCAGTGCGCCGGGCATCGTGAAACGGCACATCTTCCCGGCAGACCCGGGGCCGACGGAGGAGAATGACCCAAGCGGGGACGGGGGGCGAGAGTTGAGCTCAATATTTGGTTTGCTATCCAACCCTTCGCGAATGGCTCATCACGCTCGTGTGCTATCGGCTTCTACAAATGAGACGCTTTTATCGCACCGAGTCGAGACCGAGATTGATCCGAGTGCTTGTGAGGGCTGCGTTTTGTGCGTGTTCAGTCTTGTCGCAATTAGAATCCGGGTCGCTCAGTTTCAGTTTGTTATGCAGAAGGGTCGAGTGTGAAGGCTTGATTTGATCCGAACTTCCGGTGAACTCACCTTGGCTGTAAGCAGTATCTGAAGAAAGTTTCGTTGCTGCTCGCGGTGTGCGCACCGTTTGTTTGAGCTTGGGTTTGGAGGCAAGGCTCGTGATTTGTAAGAGGGGACTGGGGGTAGGTCAACGCATGAGCCGTAGCTAGGAATTTTGTGACCTTTCATTGTCGAATCAACAAGGTCGCACTTACACATCTGATTCATTTATAGAGCTCTTGTTGTCATCTTAAAACCCAAAAGGTCAAACTTTTAAAGCAGATTGAACCTTGAACCTAGAAATGTCATCCAATTGTCATGCCTGAGTTCATTCGTTTCGGAGGCTTCCAGGAACTCCAGAATTCTGAGCTCAGAATCCCCAACCGGTTACGTCCTAGTATATTCAAGTGTACACAGGCAATCATCGAAGTGCCAAGCTGCACAACGAAAGGGCCACCCTAGCACGGGAGTTGCAGCTCCTTTTGCACTTGAATTGCTCAAAATAGCAGTGCCCACAGCCGCTATGGTACAATGAGCATGTCATCGGACGAGACTGCGAACCAGAATCGCATTGTGACCGTTGAAGGTCATCATGTCGCTGGTGACTTTGTAGAGATTGACTTGGAAGAGGAAGTGCCAGATGAAGCCGCAAACGGCCCTCAGGAACCATCTGATTCTGGAGACTCTGGAGAATCGACCAAGCCAGAACTTGCAGCTCTCGTTGGGCTCATCGAGAGGATGCAGCCAACTCGACCCGAAATCCTGCGGGCAGTTCCAACATATCACATTGTAGCCAGGTTGGGACGTGTCTTCTGGTCTGGGAGAGACCGAAGCTTCTTTAGCCTCAGCAAAGTCACGCAGGACTACGATGAGTTTCTGAGTCATAGCTGGCAGGTTGCAGTCTGGAAGAAGGTGCTGCTATTGCTGGTTATCAAGAACGGCTTGGCTTCGGTTGTCGTTGGAACTCTCACTTCCTTGCTCATGGTGTTGCTGTGGCAGCTTGATTTCTTACCAGGCTTTCCGAAGCTTGGTGAGAAATGGTCCTGCTGGTGCTCTTTTGTTGGGCTGATCCTGGCACTTTTCACGCTGGCTTTCTGGAGACCGCGGGGGTCCATTTTCGTTGATAGAGTGTGCATCAATCAGTTTGATCCACGCATGAAGGCTGAAGGCATCGTCAATATAGGTGCAGTGCTAAGGGTTTCTAAATCCCTGCTGGTCCTTTTCGACGATTCCTACGCAGATGCTTGGTGAAAGTTAGGGGTCTCTTTTGCTTCGTCCGGTTTAGAAATCTTTGTTCTTTCCGTCTTGATATGGACCAAGGATAGGCTGTGGTGCTTGTTTGAAATGGCTGCATTTCTGAAAGCCCATCCAGAGGCTGCGGAGAAACCTTATATCCTGCATGTCAAGCCGATACTGTTGGGCTTCATTGCATGCACAACTTGCTTCGGTGCGTTCGGAGCGGGTGTCTTTGCTGTCTTCAACCCTTTCTACGATATTTTCCGGTTTTGGGGAGTGCTTCTTGCCTTCGGCGCTGCCGAAGGCATGTTCCTGGTACACGCTTTCCGCAAATATTACAGGTCTGTTGAGGCTATCAAGAGTCAGTTGCAGGGCTTCCGGCTGCGACACGCGGAGTGCTGGTGTTGCAGCGTGAACCACATCCACCCAGCCAGTGGCATGCCAATCGAAGTATGTGACAGAGAAATTGTCAGCCAGTGTGTGACAAGCTGGTTTGGATCTGAGCAAGAGTTTGACGAGTCTGTCCGGTCCCTCACAGCCCGGGCTCTCGAACAGCAGCTGGGATACGATGCTTTTCCTTATCTTTGGATGCTTGGATCTTTCGTGCCTGTGTGGTGGCCCTGGATGGACTACCTGGCCGTGTACTCACAATGGGAAGGGGAACAATTTCGGGTCCCATACTTTGTGATCAGATTCCTCGCCTTTTGGCTTTTCTGCATGCCGCTGGTTGCTACCGTCGGTATTTTCTTTGCACGCTGCCTCCGACGGAAAGCTCAATGGATATGCACGGAGCTCTTCTTGGATGCGCTGGTATGCGTGCTCACGTTACCCTCAGTTCTTGCCTGTGTAGCATGGCAACTGTACACGGAGATTACGTTTTACAAATATGGTGTTCAAGATTGGCTCTCTGAGACACTGGGATCCGTCCTTTTCGCCGCAGGCTGTGGCGTGGCGCTTCTTGCGACAAGGAAGGGATTCCATTTTGCCAACAAGCATTTGTTCAAGAGGCTTGGTGCCTGAGCTCGCAACGACCGTCTTCAATCTTCGTGTCTAATTTGTTTAACAGTTTTGAGTGTTTTGGACATTGCCGGTGTTTGATCATCGCATGGGCGAGGCCCCTCAAGGGGGGGTACCTTGCTCGACGACCTATGGTCACCTGCCACCACGTGTGAGGGAAAAGCCACGTGGCATGCTGAGCCTTCCACTCTATACTATAACGTACTATGGCCTACTATCGTATTTCATCGTAATCTTTTAGTGTTTTAGAGTCTATGATCGTATAGTATATTAGAGTATATTATCGTATGTTGTAGTATACCATAGTCTGTCATAGTCTGTTTTTGTCCATAATAGTCCACTATAGACTGTAGTCTACTGTAGTACACTTTTTCTGAAGTAACTATAGTATTCTAGCAGAAGGTACTATTGTACCATGGCGTACAACGTAGAACTGCCAGGGCAAGTCGGAGTTGACAAAACCTGGTCACTTGCAGCGAAGTCCGGGTAATCTCAGCTTGCAGGCCGCCACGTTTTGCATTCATCAGCAGTCCAAGTTGAGTCAACGGGTCCTATCGAGTTTCGTGAGCTTCATCACCCTTATTGCAGAAAGTCTGGTGGATCCAAGACCTACTGGCGGGGTTCGGGGCATTGCCACAGGCGATGTGTTCCGGCGCCTCGTCTCCCGAGCTCTTGCGCGTGAATTCAGCGGAGCGTTTGAGGCGGCCACCAGGCCGTTCCAGACTCGTGCTGGCACTGACAGCCTAGCTGCGATGCTACGAGCAGCCGTCGATTCCGACCCTCGGGCCACCGTCGTCTCACTAGACGGCCGCAGCGCCTATGATACCATCAGCCGCGCGACCATCCTCGCCAAGCTCCGCGATGCTGTCCCGTCACTGCTGCCCTTTGCGAGAGCTATGTACGCGCGTACGTCCACCTATACCTCTGGTGGGACGACGCCGGACGACGGCACGAGATCGCGCAAGCCGAAGGAGTCGAGCAGGGTGACCCTCTCGCGCCGGGTCTCTACGCGCTGGGACAGCACGACTCGCTGGTCGCCGCCAGCGCATCGTTGCGCGCAGGCGAGTACCTCGCGGCGTTCTTGGATGACCTTTACGTCGTGACAGTCCCGGAACGTGCGGCACCGCTGCTTCGCGTTGTCACCGGCGAGGTCGAGCGAGGTGCCGGCGTCGAAGCGAACCTGGGCAAGACACGAGTCTACAACGCAGCAGGTGGGGACGCACCACCCGGCATAGCCGCCCTCGGCCCGGACGTGCGGCGACCTGCCCCCTGCTCGGCGCGGATTCGTTGCTCTCGGCGTGCCCATCGGTCACCCCGGCTTCGTCGGCGCTCACGCCGCTGGCCGCCTCGAGGCTGAAGCGGACCTGCTCCAGAAACTGCAGCGCTTGCCCGATTTGCAGAGCGCTTGGCTTCTGTTGGCCTACTGCGCAGCGCCTCGGGCGCAGCACCTGCTTCGCAACGTCCTCTCGGCGGATATACTGCCTTACGCCCGCGCCCACGACGCGGCGATCTGGAATGTTGTCGAAGGCCCGCTTGGCGGTCAGGGCCCTGACGAGGGCGACGCCTGGCTTGCTGCCCGTGCGGTCGCTTTCTTGCCGCCGAGCTTCGGGGGCCTCGGCCTGCTTTCAGCCGAGCGGGTGTTTGCGTGGGCGGACGCGCTGCCGGTCCTCCGCGCACGCTACCCCGAAGTCGCTGACGGGATTGTGCATGAGCTTGAGGGCGAGCTGGCACGGCCTTGCTTGCGAGCAGCAGCACTTGCCGCGCACCGGCTCGCTGAGGCAGGCTGGGAAGCTCGACCGGATTGGGACGCTTGTGCCCGTGGCGCAGGCAGTCCGGCCGTCGACGGAGAACTCGGGCTCGGGAACCCTGGTTGGCAGCGACACGCCGTTCTCGCACCCCTCACTTCCTTTCGAGAACGCGTGCTGCTACCAACCTTGACTCCGGCCGCTCGAGCCCTTCTTCACTCTCAGTCGGGCCCGCATGCGCGGATGTGGCTGGCGGCGATCCCTTCGGATGTTGCCTCCACCCTCAAGCCCGACCTCATGCACGTAGCACTGAGGCGCCGGCTCCGGTTACCCTTGCCCTTGACGGGGCGGTGCTGCGGCGCTCAAGGTCGGCACGGCTGCGGAGCTCAGGTCGACGCCTACGGCGACCACCACCTTGCCTGCCCTCGCAAAGGCTTGTTGCCACGGCGTGGCTTCGTAGTCGAGCGAGCATGGGTCCAGGTCGCTCGCGAAGCGGTTAGTCCGGAGGGTCGTGTCGTACCGCAACAGTGGCTCGAACACACTACGGCGCCGCAAGTCCGGGCCGACGACCGCCGCCGTCTCGACTTCGTCGTCTACGGGGCGATGACCACTGGGGAGGCTTTGTGTTGCGATGCGACACCCCTCACTCGTGCAGGCCGCCCAGTACATGGGGCTGACGCGCGTGCGGGGGTCGCCCTAGACGCGGCCCGCCGGCGCAAAGTCGCACGCTACCCGGAACTCACGCGCGGCGGCCCGCAGCGGCTCGTCGTGCTCGCCGCTGATGTCGGGGGCTGGAACGACCAGTGCCAGCAGTTCCTTCGCATCCTGCTCCGGCTTCCCGTCCAGCGCGCCCCACCCCCCTTGCGCGCGTCCGCGGCACAGGGCTGGGCCCGCCGTTGGTGGAGCGTTTTGTCCGTCGCCCTGCAACGCGCTGTCGCCTGCTCTGCGCTCGGGGTGTGGTCCATGCCGCCGCTGCCGGGCGCCCAGGACGCACTCCCATTGGGCGACGTGCTTGACCTCGCGAGTGCAAGTGCCCCCAGTCGGCTGCCGCTTCACTAAAGCGCCGTCGGTGGGCCGTGAGCTGCCGGAGGACCTCTCCTACCACAAAAAGGTCCGGAGAAAAAACAAGTCTGCCTGTGCTAGGCCTGGCTGCTGCGCACACGAGCTAGGGTGCGGTCTTCCATCCTGGGGGATGTTGCTCACAAGAGTGGCATCGACTGCGAGCCCGGCGCCGTGCCACAGCGGCAGGCCGTTGCAGACGACTTCAATGCGCCGGGTATCGTGGAACGGCACATGCAGAGAAATGTTGCGAGCTCCGGCCTCCCGACAGACCCGGGGCCGACGGAGGAGAATGACCCAAACGGGGACGGGGGGCGAGAGTTGAGCTCAATGTTTGTAGTTTGCTATCCAACCCTTCGCGAAGTGTTTGAGGAAAGCTGGCTCATCAGGCTCGCGTGCTATCGGCTTCTAGAAGCGAGACGTTTTTATCGCACCGAGTCCAGACCGAGGTTGATCCGAGTGCTTGTCAGGGTTGCGTTTTGTGCGCGTTCAGTCTCGTCTGTAAGGTGTTGCAATTAGAATCCGGGTCGCTCAGTTTCAGTTTGTTATGTAGAAGGGTCGAGTGTGAAGGCTTGATTTGAACCAAACTTCCGGTGAACTCACCTTGGCTGTAAGCAGTATCTGAAGAAAGTTTCGTCGCTGCTCGTGGTGTGTGCACCGTTTGTTTGAGCTTGGGTTTGGAGGCAAGGCTCGTGATTCTGCGCAGATTCGTAATGGGGGTAGGTCAACACATGAGCCGTAGCTAGGCCGCACTTAGACATCTGATTCATTCATAGAGCTCTTGTTGTCATCCTAAAACCCAGAAGGTCAAACTTGTAAAGTAGATTGAGCCGTGAACCTAGAAATGTCATCCAATGGTCATGCCAGAGTTCATTCGTGTCGGAGGCTTCCAGGAAATCCAGAATTTTGAGCTCAAAATCCCCAACCGGTTACGTCCATAGTACACTTGAACAAGCAATCATCGAAGTGCCAAGCTGGACGACGAAAGGGCCACCCTAGCACGGGAGTTGCAGCTCCATTCGCACTTAGAATTACCGTAGCCATTTTGGCTCAAGGCTCAAGTCATTTGGGCCCGTGAACTGCGCAAGGACTCCGTAGCGCCCCCGCCCCATGGTCGTCCTGGCACCCGTGTTGGCAGCTGCCCTGCGATGGCTGGCGGAGGCAGCCGGAAGCGCAGTGCCAGCAGCCGCGCAGCTCCCCGCAAAGTGTCGCGAGGCAGTCACGCACGCGCTTCTCACTTGTGCAATTGGCCCTCCCCGCGAC